CTGGAATGTTCCCAGGGATGGGGCCTCCACCCCCTCTCTGGGCAACCCCTGCCAGGGTTTCACCACCCTCATTGGAAAGAATTTCTTCCTTAGATCCAGTCTATTCCTGAGAGCATTAAGGTCTCCTGCAGCCACAGAAAGCTGTGAGTATTTCTTATGCCAAAAATGTAAGCTTCCAGTTTAGGAATGCTATTGGAGGGACAGCAGGCAGGATAAAAGCTCGCTAAAGCAGCCGTTGTAGGGCGATGCCCACAGCTCACCTCTGCAAACTTAGGGCTGGATTCAGAAGTTTGCATTTCTGAGGCCTTACTAAAGAGCAGTTTTTAGTCTGTCCTTCCTGTTGCAGTTAATTCTGGTTCCTCCTATAGGACAAATTGCCCCTTTTAAGGACACCAGCAATACTTGAACGCTTTCAGGTTTAGAACATGCAAGGGTTTTGGCTGGGATGGAAGCCCTTTTTATTGAGTTGGGCTTGTTCAGCCTGAAGAAGAGAAGGCTGAGAGGGGACCTCATCAATACATACAAATATCTCAAGGGTGGGTGTCACGAGGACGGAGCCAGACTCTTCTCAGTGGTGTCCAGCGACAGGACAAGGGGCAATGGGCACAAACTGAAATGTAAGAGGTTTCGGTTGAATATGAGGAAGAAATTCTTGACTGTGAGGGTGACCAAGCCGTGGCCCAGGCTGCCCAGGGGGGTTGTGGAGTCTCCTTCTCTGGAGATATTCAACCCCCACCTGGATGAAGTCCTGTGTAACATGCTCTAGGAGAACCTGCTTTAGCAGGGTGGTTGGACTCGATCTCCGGAGGTCCCTTCCAACCCTTGCCATTCTGGGATTCTGTGATTCCCTAGACCAAAGCAGTACAAACTGGGTGGGGAAGGTCCAAAGCTCGGAGATCTCTACAGCAAGCTTCTAGCATAGACTGAGCCAACGTCTACCACCTCTGTGTGCTACTGTCCTGGATACAGCAGTTACTGGGTGGAAGCCGAATATCCTTCAGCAGAATCAAATCGCCCGTGAACAGGGTGACTGAAGAAGCTCCCATGTATTCAGTCACTTGAGTGTGTTCACGTCATCTTTTGTCTTAACCTCACCTTCCCTCTGGCTTGTTTGATGGGATGATCTTCCGAAGAGTGGTTTTCAGGGGCTATAGGAGTTTGCTGGGACAGTGGATACTTCTGTGGTCACTGCAAGGTACCTGGGTGCCTATCCAAAGGAGAGTGGCGGTCTTGCTCCGTACCCCTCCTGTGGGAAGGCAGGCTCTTGCAGGCAGCGGAGGGCATGGCATTGCAGCCCCGTCAGACGCGGCGTCAGCCCTCTGGTTACGGAGGGGTGTATTGGGAAGGTCCTGTCAGGCAGCCGAATCTCTGACCTTGGCTCTGTGCTGCTGCTCCGGGAGAAAGATCTCATCCCGAGGGAACTGGCAGTGCAGGCTGCCGGTGCGCGCCGCTTCCATTTATAGGACAGAAGGAAGCCTTTGGGTCGGTCGGGTCGCGACGATCACACACAGCCACAGCAGATCCCTTACAGGAGCTCTTCAGGCTGTGTCTTAAAAGTAGCTGGACTTCATGCCCTGCTTCTGCCGGGTGCATCTGGAGCCCTGTTATTCAGTATACGAGTACTGATTTATGACCAGCTCCGAGATGTTTTGTATTTTGGTTTGGGTTTTGTGGCTAATGTTGTTCTGTTTAAATAGCCATACTTACTCGGTATTCACTTTCCTCCTAAGGTTTTGGTAGTTCTTCTCTTGGTGTGGGTGGTTTTCCTCGCTGAGTGGCCCTCCGGAGCTGTGTGGGCTATTGCAGATGCGAGAACCCTTCATGGTTTTGTGATAGTGTTCCTGCTCCCCAGCACCTCTCTGGCAGCACCTTGGTGGCCGTTTTATATTGCCTGTGCTTTTCCATGGCTGTGGCGCAGCGCCAGCTCGGGGCCTGGCAGATCATACCCAATCCTTCTGTTCCAGCCGATGAGCTAACACGGAAACTCCCTGGTTCCTGCGTGTGGAACTGTCCTGGGAGCCTTCTGTCATTCCAGTCCTCGGAGATCATCTGATTTTCTGGTGGCTGTCCCTGCCTTCCCTGCTGCTTTGTGTTATTTACCTACTTTTCGCTAAGGCCATTGATGGAACTGATCTGAGCCACCACCTGAGCGGTATCCATCCAGACTGCTGTGTATCCATCCAGACTGGTGCTTTTATTTTTTATTATTATTGGGGGGGGCTTTCCTTCACTATTACTGGAAATGTCAGCTTTAGATTAATGGCTTATCCAGCTCTACCATTTTTCTGCTAATTTCTCCCCTGCCCCCTTTCTCCATTTAGCTCATAATTTGCACAGGGACCTATAGCAGTTGCCTTACTGTGTAATTCAGAAGCGCAGGACTAGTGTGAGTGTAACTAGGCATGACTATTTAGGCAGGACTTCTTTACAAACTTACCCTGCTTTTTATCCCATCTTTCATTTCCTTCCTGCAAACCGCCGGCTTCAAGGCCTCCATTTGGTTCCATCCAAACCTCCTAGCAGAAGAGGAACGCTGGCTGATCCCCAGGGAACAATATTTTACAGGGGCCAAATCTTAAGCTCTGCTTGAGGGGCCGTTTACTGGTGGTAAACATCCACATTTGGGGAGTGTGATGCATTTCTTCGTAGAATTAATCAGCAGCAGTATGCTGGCTTTTTGGTATTTGCAAATAAAAGATATCCTTCATGTCAGCTCCTTTTATAGGAGCCTCAGACGTGCAAACGGCCTGGTGCTGCAAGACCTCAGCGATGCTTTGCTGTCCTTGTCAGGATACCGTGCCCACGTTGTAATTTTAAAGATATTTTCCCTGACAGTTATTAATGCCCTAAGAAATAGCTTTTAATATTCCCAACCCTCGCCAGCAGTTATTTGGACTTACGACATCGTGCCTGACAGCGCAAGCAGTTTGGAGAGTGCAGTATGGAGTTTGGAACTCGCCCGTAGGCTGGAGGGTTGGTGCGGCTGGAAACCAGCCGGCAAGGACGGGATCCCTTCCGTGCCCGTCCATGGGCAGAAGGCTCAGGCAGGACAGGCTGCTGCTGCTGGGGCAGTTGCTTGCCTCATAATTCCGCGAAGGAGAAAGCCTTTCATGAGAACTTTATCCAGGGAATAGAATGTGGTCAGCCCTTTCCCGATAGCTCTGGAACAATTTGGGAGTCTGGATACTCACCACTGGTGTTGCATAAGTGTGTTGGGCTGTTGGGATAGTGATACGGACTGGCTGCTCTTTCACGGATGGGGTAGAGTAAATGACTCTCTGCAGGGGTTTGGACAAGCTGGGCTTTTAACTCCTATTTTTCTATCTCAAAGTAGAATTTAATGTGTTTGGGCATCACATTTAGAGCAAAGGAGGCTCAGGAGGGATCTCATCCCCACGTACCAGTACCTAAGGGGTGGGTACAAGGAAGATGGAGACTCCCTTGTCACAAGGAGTCCCATGGAGAGGACAAGAGGGAATGGACACAAGTTGCTCTTGGGGAGATTCTGACTGGACACGAGAGGGAAATTTTTCCCCATGAGAACAGTCACCCATTGGAATGATCTCCCCAGGGGAGGGGTTGGCTCTGCCACACTGGGCACTCTCAAGCCTCAGCTGGACAAGGTGCTGGGCCATCTTGTCTAGGCTGGGCTCTTGCCCAGAGAGGTTGGGCCAGGTGATCCTGGAGGTCCCTTCCAACCTGGGATTCTATGATTTAGAAATAGAGAATTGCTGGCGCAGAGCTAGGATGATTCTAAAGGGCTCAGCTGCCTCTGTTACTCTGTCATCCCACCTCCTCCTTGTGGCAACTCTTGGTCATGGGTGGTGCTCTTGAACCTGAGCTCGCTCTGGAAAACCTTGCACGCCGGAGCCGTGGCTGAGCTGGCCCAGGCTGGTGCGGCCGCTCAGCCCGGGCAGTTCCCCCTGCTCCCACCCTGAGCAGCGCCTGGTTAGCACTTCACAGCTTCCACCCGCTTGGCTGCTCTAAGGTAAGTGCCTTGCCTGGGCAAATCGCTTGGACTTGTTTCTCTTTACTCATTTAGCCTTTCAGGTGGCCCCGGTCAAACTCCACCCTCTGTTGGTAAATGGGGGTAGGCCGCTGGTTGCGTGCCCAGCTCTCATTAAGTGTTCACCTCGTGTTCCCAGTGTCCCTACGGTGGCAGCGGTTTAGTGTTTGAGCCTGGTGATCACTGAGACATCGGGTATGTAAGTGGTTGGTTGAAGCCTACTAATCAGGAAAATAGTCCTAATTTGAGGGAGGGTCGTGGTGACAAGTGCTTTTAAGGAAATATTAGGGGTATGCCAAACCCAACTTTAAGCCCAAGCCCAAAACCATCTTGTTTCTGGGGTACACGTACAGATCTAAAGGAGTCTTCAAAACCTCCTGGGTACTTCTGTCAGCTGGGGAGAAAGCATGCTGTAAATTATAACCAGATCTGATTTGTTTACGATGAAGTGTGGCTGAGCACGTTCAGCAGCCGCGGATCGTCGGCTGCCAGAGCCCTAGGTGTGCCGGACGAGAGCAGCTCCAATAAGGAGGAAGATTCTTCTGCCTTCTGGCTGTCTGTACGTCCGTTTCAGACCTGCTCTGCCACGTTTATGGCTGTCATGCGAGGTCAGAAGAACCTCAACGTCTTTAAGGTGATGTTTGAAGGGAGCAGCGCTCAGTTCTTGTGGGAGAAGTGTGTTCGTGAAAGGCCAGCGCTTCCTTCTGGCACCAATGTAGTGCTGGGTACGCAGCCCTTGTAGGAAAGGATAGAATACACCTTCTCAAACCCAAACCCATTTTTTTAATCACTTAAAAGAAAAAAGTCACCGCCCTATTTCTGTCCTGCAGCCACACGTTTAAAGGGCTGCAGTATTTTCTGGCAGCGCAGTGGTGCTGGCCTGGGGAGAGGTTCCTCTCTTCCAAATAATCCTTGGACCAGTGGAGGGGTTTTTGCTTGCTTGTTCTTCCCAAGCTGTGTTCTAGAGGGTGCACGCGGTCTCTCGCTCTGTCCTTCCAAGTGAGATTTGCCAGTGGATTTGGAAGTTAATCACCTCTGAAGGACGGACAGAAGTCTCAAGCGATGGTGCCTACATGTGTTGTGTACAGGTGGCAGTGAGGAGGCACCGGGTACTGCCTCACCAAGGAGAAGGTAGGCTGGGCTCTGCTTTTCCTTCCCTCGAGGAGACCGAGGGGCAAAGCCACCTGAGAACACGTGCTCAGAGGTTGGTTTGGGGTCTGTTTTAATGACCAACCCCTAGGACGGCATGTCATTGTATTGCATAACTAGGAAATGACAGTTATGGCTGTAGACTTCCAGTAAAAACCTTAGAAGTTCTGATTCCCAGTGAGAGCTGTTCCAGAGCTCTGAATTTCCCAATATCCAGGCCACACCTGCTTGGTTTTTCCCTGGAAGTGTCAGGTAGGCCACATTGATGAAATGAATTCAGCGGTTTTGCTGAAGATGGGCCGCACCGTCTCACATCTCAGGCTGTTTTAACGACGGTGTCAAAGCAGGCTGTCAGAGGCGCCTTTTAAAAATGGGGATTTTCAAAATTTTATTTTTCCTAGTTGAGGCTGTGTTGGGCAAAGAGCACATTTATCTGTTTCAGGGGCAAACAAGCCTCTACGAAGCCCTGCAGCACCACGGCTGGCTAATTGCAGGCTCTGAGCTGATGGACAAGTGTGTTGGCAAGCCTGGAGTTTGCTTAGTCCTTGCATTATTTTGCAAGGGCATTTATATATTGCCCTGCTTGGAAGCATCAATGTAGCCAAGTTGCCTCTGAGTTAGTAGGGGTAGATGCCCAAATCAGGCCTGAAGGTTTTTTTCACGGCGTGGCAAGCCATGTTCGTGCATGGTTCGCCATGGAAGAGCTTGCTGGCTCCACTCCGGTCGTCCACGTGAACAACCGTCTTGATTCCTCTTTGCCCCAATCCAGTTCTGTCACCTGGATGTGACCATGGAAGGAGAGCTCTGCTGTGTTCAGTGTAAACGGGAAACACCTGAAGGAAAGTCTATTCAGAGCGATTAGTACATGATGTTACTGAGGGATTTAAATACCCCCTTGGAATGAGTCGAGTGGTGCTGAATTACCTCGTGGAAATTCAGGGATGGGATTAAGAGAAAAAGCTGGAGCACTCTGTGCTCTGCACTGAGCTGCTTCCTCCCGTGTGAGAGTCAAGAGAAACGCTGGATGAGATTCCAGAGCTCAGAAAGCATGGAATAGAGGCCAAACCAGGCTCTGGGTGGAGTAGGATGAACTAGGGCATGAGTGCAGCCCGTGGGCCACAAGGCTTGTGTCCAGGACAGCTGAGAGCCTGTTACCCATGGAAGGATTGAGGGGACAGTGGTGGAGCTGGGAGTGTGCAAATACTTGAATCTGGGCACCCTTCAGCTGCAGGCGTTGCTTCCGTACGAGCAGATCTGTAATCACACCTCCCGGGAGGGTGGAAAGCAGCTGCAGGCTCTGAAGCAACTGAGTTTTGCTCCATGTTTCCCATGTTAGGAAGCGTTTCAGAGGATCTTAATAGGTCTTGCATCCAGCACCTGCTAAACCTTTGGTACTGGTTTGGTTTTTCATTTAGTTCCTAGTAAAAGTGAAAATACCTTTGGTGTTTTCAAATGCTTCCTGCCCCTTGAGGAAACAACCTTGTCTTCAAGGAAAAAGGCGGGCTTACAAAGGTAAAAGCGGTGGTTCCTCCTGCCGGTCTTAGTCTTGCCTGGTTTAGTTTTAGTTCATTGGGTTGAAGCATTCTTATGGATCCTGGTCCGTTCTCACAGACCCGGGTCATTGCCTGAGCAGTTCCGGCAGATTTACACGACAGCCTGCCTGGTAGCTGAGGAGCTGTTCTGGCCGTGCTCCCTAGGAAGGATGGTGGGTGCTTTACTTGAACGCTGGGCTTTGTAGTTTCTGGGTGGGAGCATCTCTTCATGAAATGTTTGGGTATAACGGTGACTAACTGACCGCTGTTTGGTGTGAAAGCTCATTAACGTCCCGTTTGTGTCTCTGCAGCTTACTGGAGGTTTTGGCTGTGCGTCAGCGTTGTGTATGAGCTCTTCCTCATCTTCATACTCTTTCAGGTAAGCAACTTAGGCCTCTGGTGACTGAATGCCAGTTTAACGTGGATGTCAAATCCTTCGTGGTGTTCTTCAGGATTCTCGCCGCCTATGGGAGGTGCTCTTCATTTTTGTGAAATCAAACCACTGTGCTATTTCATGAGACTTTGGGGTTGAGGAAGGACAATAATATCACAACAGTATTCCCCCCTGTTGTCTAACTTCCAGCTAGTCTCAGCCTAGGTTACGCACCGCAGTGAAGTGTTCTCACCTGAGTTGGTAAGAAGCCCGAGTTCTCGTTTAGCTCAAAGCATGAGGAGTTGGTGCTTCTAATGTTCAGCCTCTGCTGGGCTGGACATGATGTGGCTTGCTGGAGATGTGCACCAGCTGATTGCTAGATCCTACAGATTGTGGAGTGAATTCATCCTGCTGCATCTCTTCAAGTACTTTTCACCTTGGATGACAAGTGCTTTGAATTTTATATTTTTTTGTGATAAACTGAAACTTCACACAGGAAGGACTGTGTGCAGTGGCAGCAGACTGAGGATGTTTTTTCTAGAAAGACGTCCTATCAGTACTTCCAAATAAAGCACGTTCTTTTTTACCATATCCTCATCCTTTAGCAAACTGAGAATTTTCCCCTGGTTTTTACAATTCTGTGCCTTCTCAGAGACGCAGCAGTTGAGGGTAAAATATTTTGAGATAAGCAAGAACAGTAAACCCGAGTCTATTTACAAAGCCAGTGTGTCCTCTGTGCATACGTACACCGCAGCAATGGGTGCCAGGAGGGAGCTCGGGGGCTGAAGGAGGCTCACCCTCCCCCCAGTTATGTGATCTGGTGATCGCAGTCCTGTCCTCAGGCCACTGCCTGCCTTGAAACCAAAAGCAGAAGCAGAGGTTTAAATCATTGAGAGGTAACGGTCCCCAGCCGTCAGAGAGCTGGGTGCTTTCCTCATTCACATCCCGTTGCTCATTCTCAGAGAGGTCCTCCTTCCTCTGATACCTTAGTAGCGTTTGGTGCTCTGTATTTTAAAAGGGTTGTGCAAGTACCATCACATACCCATCAGGTAGCTTTAAAAAATCATTTTAGATGAGAGAAAGATGGGGAACATGTTTTAAAAAAAAAAAAAAAAAAGTTTTGCCTCCAGAGGCCAAGTGAGCTGGAAGAAGCGGGGCTGGAGTTCAGAGGTGTCAGGATCTGTCTTCTGCTGGAGTAGGGCGTTTGCTTTGCAAACAAGTTTTTAATATTGATCGAACCCTTCCCAGCTAATCAAAGATTTCCCTTGGCTCCAGCATTTCTTGTTCTGCTTGGCTTTCCTGGAGCCTGCCCAGGAGCCCGTGCCAAGCTCTCTTAAGAACACAGAACTGTCCTTTTGTTTGCTTGCCTGGCTTGCTGTTTGGGTGGGCAGGTGGGAGGCATCTGCAGTAGATCAGTGAAGAACGATGCGGGCTTGGTCCTGTTGGCGTAACCTGGGGTGCAGTGCAAGCCCTTAGGCAGGGCCCTGATGTCTCAGTAGGGTTTCTTTCAGGCTGCCTGTCCTGCTGGGAGGGAGCGGAGTTCTGGCCCTTTCTCAGGCATGGACGGGTCTGCCTTGTCTTGTCTGTTGTTATTCCTCACCACCAAAGGGTACTTACTCCCTTCCAGTTTATTCTCATGTCCTTGCTGTTTCTCGTCGCCCCGTGTTTTTTTCCCAGGTGTCCTTGTGAATGACACTCTCGACTCACTGCGGACAGACCGAACGGCATGTTTCATTGGTATTTGGTAGGACTGTTGTGGTTCCGAATCACAGAATCATAGAGTGGTTTTGGTTGGAAGGGACCCCTAGAGGTCATCTAGTCCAACCCCCCTGCAGTGAGCAGGGACACTGCTAACTAAATCAGGTTGCTCACAGCCCCGTCCAACCTGGCCTTGAATGTTTCCAGGGATGGGGCTTCCACCCCCTCTCTGGGCAACCTGTTCCAGTGTTTTACCACCCTCATTGGAAACAATTTCTTCCTTATAAACCTACCCCGTTTTAGTTTAAAACCATCCCCCCTTGTCCTGTCACAGCTGGCCCTACTAAAAAGATTGTCCCCACCTTTCCTATGGGCCCCTTTTAGGTACTGAAAGGCTGTAATCAGCTGTGCCCGCAGCCTTCTCTTCTCCAGGCTGAACACCCCCAACTCTCCCAGCCTGGCCTCAGAGCAGAGGGGCTCCAGCCCCCGGATCATTTTTGTGGTCCTCCCCTGGCCCCGCTCCAACAGGTCCATGTCCTTCTTGCACTGAGGGCTCCAGAGCTGGACGCAGGGCTCCAGGGGAGGTCTCCCCAGAGCGGAGCAGAGGGGCAGAATCCCCTCCCTCGATGCTGGCCACGCTTCTCCTGATGCAGCCCAGGGTAGGGTTGGTTTCTGGGCTGCCAGCGCCCATGGCCGGCTCATGCC